TGTGACCGGGCACAGGATTTCGTACACTAACGCTTTTTCGTTAAACGGTTGAAAATAAACGGATTGTAAACGGACAATAAATGGGTAGTAAACGTTGTTTAAACGGTTTGCATACCCATTTAAACGGATAGTCCAAAGCGTTAAACGGTAGAGCAAAGTCCAAAAACGGATTCCGTAAACTGTTAAACGGCCGAGAAAAAAAATAAACTGATGGCTTAAAACGTTAAACGGTTGAACAGAATCTATTAATCGATAGCTTAAAACGTTCAGTTAAACGGATGGACAAAAACCTTGAACGGATCAGGAGGGCTAAAGAACAGCGGGATAAGCCATGCACATAACTAACAGAAACCGTTGCGAACAATTATACGAATAATTTTGTTCTTGCGGAACACTGACGTTTCATGCTAATATTATATTCAACTGACACTATTAGGAAACGAAGTAAAATTAAATTACTAGCCTGTGATTAAGCTATCCACTGGCGAGTAAAGCGAGCCCAGAGCAAATCTCGCTCTGGAGAGCTCGCAATGCATTTGAAAATTTGCATAAAATATAAGCAGAGGAAGCAATCTGTCAATCATACCATGCGGACTGAACATTCTCGACAGAAAAACAATTAGAATTGAAAAGCAAAGTCTTTTTTTTTTCATGTTCCTACATTGTTTCTTCTATGTATTGACCGAAATGAAATCGCACTATCAAGTGAAAAACGTTAAGAAATGGATTATATGTAGGTAAAAATAGCCGCCGATTTTGTAGATTTCACCATCGGTTAACTATCGAAACAATTTTGCATATGCAACTTTCTTTCGCTCATGTTTCATCTAGCATTCGATTTCATAAAGTAATTTGTAATTATAGCTTTTATAAAGCCATGTTCGTTTCCTTTCAATCAATGGAAATAAAAGATGAGAAACCCAATAGCCACTGATTCGGTAAATAGTTTTGCCGTACACGTCTATTGAAGTAAATTTGCATAAGCATGAAAACAAATCTCACTCTTCTCGTGTTAGTTAACGAATATCATTCTGTTTTCGTAAGGTAATGCGAGCTCTCGTGTCTCAATATCTGATTGAGAATTCTGCTAATCGAAGACCTTCTCATACCAGAGATTTGCAAACAGTAAGTTGTAGCGAAGACCAACATAGCCGCTCGATCGAAGCATGACTGATTTCCAACGGGTGCTTCTTGGGACTGTTTTATACCTTTGCTCTTCAAAAACGTTGAACGGATGTAAGTAACCGTTAAACGGATGGATTTTTTTTAAAACGGATAGGTTAACCGTTTAAACGTTTTGTCGAAAACGTTAAACGGATGAGCAAAGCGTTTAAACGGATGAAGAAAGCATTTAAACGCTTTGATGATCCGTTTTAAACGGATAATAAACGGATAGTAAACGGATTA